GAGGCCGTTCTATCCCAGATGTTGCTGCCCAAGACTGTAGGTTACTGGCAGTGCTAGAATTCACGGGTCTCCCTGGCTGGCTTGGGGGAAGGGCTGGGGGTTAAGGAGCTGCCTGAGAGATCAGAAACAATCTTTAGGTTTCACAGTTGCTGTTGTGGGCCTGCCCACCTACACAACCCTTCTGTGATCCCGAGCATTTATTTTAAAGTCTCCTGATCTTTTGTTTCTTGTGTTTATAGTTACCGGCAAGGACAGTCATTAGTCATATCAAGAAATGCTAATTTGTGTCAGAAAAAAAAGCTAGTTCAAAAGGGATTTGCACCAGATTCTTAACTGTAATTCTATCAGCAAAGCTTTAATCTGGAAATTACAATGACGGAAATGCAAAGCACCCTAGGAGAGAGGGTTATTTTTAGGTTCCTTTTTAACTTTTAAAAGCCAATTCATCTGCAGCTTACACAAAGGTTCCAGAGGTTGATATTCAAGGTAACTCAGGCTGAGCAAATGCTGGCTATACAGGACCCCAAACTCATGTGTAGCTTAAGGCTAATGTCCGACTGGAGCGAGAGGAACAGGGATGTAATTGGCCTTTAGAAATGATAATATTCACAAGAAAGAAGGAAGGAAGGAAGGAAAGGAAGGAAGGAAGGAAGGAAGGAAGGAAGGAAGGAAGGAAGGAAGGAAGAAAGAAAGAAAGAAAAAGAAAGAAAGAAAGAAAGAAAGAAGAAAGAAAGAAAGAAAGAAAGAAAGAAAAGAAATGATAATATTGATGCTAGTAGACAACAAGCTTCTTGAGAGCAAAGACTGGGGTGTTTTCCCCCCTTTCTTTATATCTCTATTGCTTAGCACAGTGCCTGGCATATAGTAGGCGCTTAATAAATCCTTGACATGACTGGTGTAAAATAGAGATCATTGGAGATGAATTAAGTGAGAGATAGATAGCATGGTGTTAGGGTATTCTGGAAGGAGTGCTACTTCGGGAGTTAAAGGTCCTGAGTTTGAATCATACTACCTGTAAGACCATGGACATATCACTTTAAACTTTTAGGGCCTCAGTTTCACATCTCTAAAACAAGAGGGTTGGACTCCATGGCCTTTAAGGACTCTTCTACCTCTACATCGTTGGCACTATGCTTGAGTAAGGTTGCTCCCGGACAGGGATGTGCTGATTAATATTTAACAACTAGCTCTCAGTGTTTTGGGGGAGGGAGGGGAATGTACATACGACACACTTTTAAGTTTAATCTGCCTCACTAATATTGTCTTAAATCAAAGCCATCAATAAAACAGTCAAGCTCTGATTTGTAGGATTCACCAGTTTCCAAGGTGGAAATGCTCGTGTATAAAATAGAACAATTGGCATCTGCCAGCCTGTTGAAATTGGCTCCAGCAGACTCCTGCTCCTGGGCATGTAGAAACACAAGCCAGGAGACTGGGGATTCCAGATGGCGATGCTGAGGGAAGAAAGGAAGAAGGTTGGGTTGAGTCGTGATGGAATTTGGGATTTTTTCTAAAAATATGTAGAATGCAGAAATTCCATGGGCCTGACATCGGGTAATCAGTCGATAAATATCAAGGAAATAATTGACTCGAGGGTCAACTGCCTCTGAGGAGAGAGATTTTAATCTGATACTGTCAGAGGGAAAAGTTGAAATTGGCATCCAAAAAGGACCTAATTTTCTTGGTGATAATGGGAGTTAAGAAATATAGAGAGGAAAGGCTACTCATTACATCTTTGTTATCAACCCCATAGCACCTAGCACTGTGTCGTATGTCTGGGTTAGGAGTAAGGGTAGACTTGGAAAGGGAACCAGAAACAATGGTAAATTCCTGTGTGATCATGAGCCAGACCAAACTAAATGGCTGTGAGTCTTTGACTCACCACTTACCTGGTTGGCATCCAGTTTGTACCAATCAATCAATATTAAGTAGCTATTATGTGCCAGCCACTGTGCTAATCCATATCATTGTAAGAAAGCAATTAGTGCATTTGAGATAGCTGGACTGACTGACTTTTGTCAGGAGGCTGCCCTGCTTCTCCATGGCATCACACTCCCAGATGGAAGGGGCTATGGAATCACTCATTCTGCGATATGTCAGAGGGCTTGGCTCCTGCCCCCCTGGTAGAGGTGCCATTCCATGGTAATCAAGAATGACTGCTGAAAAAAAGAATTTCAAAGTTTCAGGAAGCCAGCATCTCTCTCAGGAGTCCGCAGTATGCACTGAGTTTGCCTGGAATCAGGATCGAAAATGAGTTTTGGCCCAAAGATGTGAGTTCAGGTTTAGATGTGCAGAATGGGTAGTGCCAATGGGATAGCTGAGTTGGCATATCTAGTAGACAATGGAAAATTGGACCTAGAAAACAGAGATATGGATTGGGGAATTAATTGTATAGAGACTATTTGTAAGCAGATAAGATTGTAAGCTCCTTGTGGGCAGGACTGTTTTCCTTTTTGTTAATCATATTCTCAGCACTTTGAAATATGTATTGGATTGGATATTAATAATAGCTAACATTTACATAGCACTTTAAGGTTTCCTAGACACTTTAGAATGTTGTCTTATTTGGTCCTTACAACATTCCTGGAGTCTGGAAGACCTGAGTTCAAATGTGACCTCAGATACTAGCTGTGTGACCCTGGGCAAGTCACTTAACTACATTTTCCTCAGTTTCCTCATCTGTCAAATGAGCTAAAGAAGGAAATAGCTGACCATTCCAGCATCTTTGCCAGGAAAACCCCAAAAGAGATCACAAAGAGTCAGACATGACTGAAAAATGACGAAAACAACAAGGTACTATTGTTTTTGCCATCTTACAGGTTAAGTGTCTTGCATACAATCACACAACTATTAAGGGCCTGAGGCAGGATTTGAACTCAGGTCTTCCTGACTCCAAGTCCAGTACTCTATATACAGACCACCTAGCTGCCTCTGTGGTAATGGGGGAAATAATCTTTGGGAGAGGGAGAGTCCTGAAGGCTAAAGAAATGAGAGACACAAGGAGGAGCAGTTATAGATTGGAGGAGATCCAGGCTTCTGCCATGTCCTAGAGGAAAAGAATGTGAATTTTAAGAAGGCGAGGGTTCCATCAGATGCTGCAGAGAAGTACGGAGAATTGATATTGATAACAAGAAGGACAGAATCTCACAGATGGAAAGGACCTCAGAGATCAGCATCTCCCGCAAGTGTTCTATGCCTATCCCTAGCTGAAGCCTTTCAGTGGTAGGGCACCAGCTACCTCATGAGGCAGACTGTTCTGTTTGGGGATGGCACAGATCCCTGGGGCGTTATTTCATATGGGCAGCAGAAAGCCTACTGGGGAACCCTACAGCTCCTGCCTGCTCCTAGTGGTCTGGTCATTTGATTTAATGATAAGAAGATCGTGCTTTGAGAATGCCGTTTCAGTAGGGTGGCGAGAATAAAAGCCCAGTTACAGAGAACTACGGAGGGAGGAGGGTGAAGGGGAAATTGAGACAGTGAGTACAGACCATCCATTGAAGGCTTGTCATGGAAAGAATGGAGAAAATAAGAGGCTCAATCTTCATTCCTTTTTTAATACTCTGAAGTCAACCTTTTCCTCTATACATTTTGTAAATTCCTGTCCATCTTCCTACCAGTTTACTTTTGAACTAAATGGAATTAGAAATAGGGACTAGATCTGTAATTTAATTGGTATAGAGAGCTGCCATTGAGGATACTCCCTCCACCAAGGCAGGTTGGCACCTTCTCTGAGACTTAGAGGCTGAGAGGGCATGTGATTTGCCCAGGGTCACACAGCCAGACTGAGCTGAGATTTGGCTCTTGCTGATGTCACACTCTCTGCTATACGATGCTGCCTCTCTCTTCTTTGGGAATTGGGCCAAAAGAATACTCAGTCATACTTGGAGATAGGAAGTTTGACTCATGAGAGGGAGAGAGGGAGAAAATAAACCGATGTGGGAAATGGGAGCTGTGTGTTTTCCCCTTAACTTGACAATGTCTTTATCCTAGTCCTACTCTCCCACCTCTACCTTCCATACACCTAAAAGCCCATTTCTTTCATCCACTTCCATTGAGTTTTTTCAGCAACTCAATGAAATTCCATGTCATCTGAGCTTGTTGAAGAAAACTTTTGATTTCTACTAGTATTGAAAGTGTATTGTGCTTTATTCCATACATTTTTTTTGGAAAGTCTATTCAGAAAACCAATCAGAAATGATTATTCTACTAGCCTTTCCCACAACTTGGTACACAGGTAGTTTTATAAAAAGAAATGAAATTAGGTCCTCCTAAAGCCTTCAATTTGGGGAGGGACCCAATTAGCTTTCATTCTCTTAATGATTCTTCTTCTGACTTTCAGGACTTGGGCACCAATCAGGTACCTTCCCCACCTCACCCTTGTTCAGCTTCCTTTAGTAGGTTAGAATATAAGCTCTTTGAGGGCAAGAACTGTCTTTCTTTTTGCTTGTACTTGTAGTCCCAGCACTTACAGCAATGCCTGGCATACAGTAGATGCTTAATAAATGCTTGTCCTTTTGCCTTGCAGCATACTCATTACTATGTCATCAGTATGAACTGGCATTTATCATGTATGACTTAATATTTTCAAAGGAGTTGTTAGACTTGACACCCCTTTTGGCTACGTGAATCTGTATTCATCTAAGGCATCTAAGATGCCTTTCTTCCACTAGAAAAAAAAAAGAGCTAAAAGAAGGAATCTTTTTATCATGTCAGAACATGGTAGGGGAGAAATAAATCCAGGAGAGGATCAAAGTCCAAACCAGATGTATCAGGCCATCTTAGATTGTTTGATTTTCCTGATACAGTTGCAAGGTGCATGTCAGGAAAGGGCCCCTTTAATTCCTCCAAAGTGAAATTCATGTTTGGACCCCACTTTGATTATTTCTGACCCTTGTTACCTGAATTGACCTCTGATGCCTTTTCCTACTCTAAATCTGTGATCCTATTATCTTGGATCTGTTTTATTAAAGAACGTATTGGGTTTCCAGAAAGGCGTGAGACTTACACAAATTACTTGGAAGATGGTGTAGGAAAAGAAAGAGTCACTTTCTGCCAATCTATCAGAGCCGGTGCTGTGGAATTGGTTAATTTCTGGACTCTGCCTCATCCATCCAGGTTCAACTGATTTGTTTGCGAGATCTGGATTAGCTATTCAGTTGCATGTGAAGCAGGATTTAACAGCTCAAAACCAATCTTAAAATAATCTGCCCTTCGCTGATGCCAAAATTGTCTTGGAAGTCAGCCAAGAAAGAGACTGGAGCTACAAGAAAAAAAAATAATTAGGCACTTTCCTATTTTCTTTGGAATTATGGCAGTAAACCCCACACAATAGCCCACCCAAACGCTAAACAATTTGATCATCTTGGCAAATTATATGGGACTTAAAAGTGGCATATTTTAATGGATGGTACATGGGCGTCTATTCTGTAGCAAAGCCTGCTCTTGTAGAGACATCCATATAGTTGTTTTTGTTTTTAAATTTGGAGTAGGGTCAAATTTTCATATATTCAGCATTTTCTCCAAGATCTATTCATATTCACCATTCGAAAGGCTTTCCAGTTTATATTTTGTGTCTATTTTTGCATCTATGAAATGTGTGATAAGTGAGATTTTTAGAAAGGCAAAGGAAAATTTTCATTGGGAAAAAAAAATGATTTCACATGTATAAAAGTGTGAGGCCAACATGTCTCCTTCCTGAGATATATTAGTAACTCAGCTCCTAATAGAAACATTTTTTGAAAAGTTACTCTGTGTGTGTGTGTGTGTGTGTATAGATATATATATATATATATATGCATGTGTATACACACACACACACGTGTGTGTGTGTGTGTGTGTGTGTGTTACTGTATTTAGACTTGGTAGAACAAATCCCAATCAGAATGTTTGCAAGGTCATTTTTGCTCTGTGTTCGGCAAGACTAAACAATTTTAGTTTAAAGACAGAAAGGGGGGTAAAATGTATTTCTGATTGCTCTTGTTCCCTTTGGAGCAAAGGTCTCCTCCTCCTACCTTTGCCAAGTACAATAGGTGACATTTTAATAGACTATGTGCTTTTGATGCCCAGCGGCTGCCTCTGGTCTCTCATGGGAAGCAGAGTATCTCCGGGCAATGAAAGTATCAGCCATCAGGATTGTGAGTACTGCTTGTTTGTTACATTCTCTTACAGCTGGTCTCCATTGTAAATAGACTTCAAGTATACTCAGTGGCTGCTAATGTGCCTTGTTAATTTAATTATGTCATTTTGAAAAATTTGCAGCTCCTCAGCAATGATCAATTTCCATGAAACTTAATATTTCATTTATAAGCTCACAGGCAGACTTGAATTAATGTCATTAATTTCAAACCCTCACCCCATTCACCTCCCCTGTGAAAGAAAACCCTTAAGGTATTGTTTAAAGTGCATGATATTTCTCAATAATTTTTAAAAATATATAACAAAAGCCTACATCTACAAAAAAGACCCAAGTGGTTTAGACTCTCAGATACAGAGTGGGGAGATGTCACCTTCCCAAATCAAGTTTAGCAATTTTGAAAAATTTTGGTGAAGTAAATGCTTTGATTTGAACAAGCCTTGTTTAGAAATTTAAGGCAGGGAAGTTAAATGAGCTGTCTGGCATCTCTCTCAGACTCTTGACTTTAGCTTCAAGGTGATGAGTTTTTCAGGACAAGTCTGAACTTCTTGGGAAGTTGGAGTGGACTCAAAGCTGGAATGGACCTCAGAGCCATCAAGTCCAACCACCTTCATTCTACATACGAAAGTAAAGCCCAGGGACGTTAGTGACTTTTCCAAGACCACACAGCTTATTAAGGGTCAAAGCTGGGATTTGAACTCGTATCCTTTGACTCATAAATCCAACATGTTTTCCACTGCCTCTGTTTATTTTTCTTTGGTTTTTGAACTCTCTATCACCTATTCTGCTGCTGTCTGGAGCCAAAAAGACGTGGGTTCATAAAACTTTGATGCTTACTTGTTACATGATCATTGGCATGTCACAATCTCCATCAGTGGGTAATAATGAGGATAATAATAACTATAGTCAGTCATCTAGCATTTATTAAGCACCTACTATGTGTCAGGCACAGTGCTAAGCACTGGGGATACAAAGAAAAACAAAAGACAGGGCCTTCCCTCAGGGAGCTTACAGTCTACTGGAACTGCTGAGAGGATCTAAAGAGATTGTAATTGCTTTGCTAACTTCAGAGTGTTTTGAGCAGAGGACATGAAGGTCGGCTATTCTTTTTATTCTCAGGCCTGCCAGGCGGGGCAGGAAAGAAGTTCAATGACTGGCCCTAGGTCATGTGGCCAGAGCTGGGATTCAAACCTAGGTCTTCCTGATTGAGTCTTGTGCTTTCTTGTAGGCGGCCTCCAAATACGATAAGAAGAGCATATAATTATTTTCCTTAAACAATTAACTTCAAGGCAACAAATTATCAGTGTCTGTAACACTTTAGAAAAAATACACATATGTGGAGGGAAATCGTTGCTGTGATATTTAGAAGATATTAATATAGAAGCAAACAATGAAATATTTCGGTGGGATGGGGGAGGGAGAGCCAATGGGGATAACACAGGTTCCTGCCTCGGCATTCATCAAGTTTCTATGCTAGAGCTAGAGGCTTTTGGAGCAGGTCAGGTCCAAGCAGGAAACATTTATTCGGCCCATACTGTGCTAAGTGCAAAAAGGGAAGATTCCTGCCCTCAGGGAACTTACATTTTAATGGGGATTCCTTCCATCTCTAGTACTATGACCCAAGAGCCTATGTTGACTTCTTGCTTGGACTGAAGCTGTCTTCAAAACTAGTCTCCTTTCTTCCTTTCTTTTCGTCCTTTCTCTTCCCTCTTCTTCTCCAGACCATCTGACACTCCATTGACATCTTGTGGACCCAAAAGCCCTGGGTTCAAATGCCTCCTCTGATTTGGACAAGTCATTTCACCTCCTTCAATTCCCACAGCTGGGTTAGATTAGTCAGCCTCTGAGGCCCCTTCCGGGTCTAGGGCTACAATCCTATGATCTCCTATGTACTCAGCTAAAGAGAACTACTTAATTTTCTGCCTCCATGCCTTTGTCCATGGCATTCCTTCTACCTAACATACCTTCCTCTTATACCCCACCTGTAAAAAGTATATTCATCCTTTAAGGGCCAGCTCAAATGCCCCATCCTCCACAAATCCTTCTCTAGTCACTCCATGTAACTGACTCCTACCCAGATCATTAACCCTCCCATTGTTGTTTGTATTTTATGCAGAGGGAGTCCCTGAAGAATTTTGAAGGAGGGAGTAACTTGGCAACTGATTTCTCCTCTAATCCTCCATGCAGAATTCTTGTGAAGCCATCTCTACTAAGTTCTCTTAGACATCTTGCAGAGGGAAGCCTTCTACTCAGGTGCAGAGAATGAAAAAGGGCTCCCTGCTATTCCTTTGATGTGACTTTCCAGTGTCTGTGTTTCTTGGTTACCCAAAGCTTCTTTTGTCTTTTGTAGGTGATGGCCAATGGCCTCTTGTTGCTTTGGGGGAGGGGGATAGCTGTCTAATAGCCTTGATGTAAATCTCCAGTGGGATTTCACATGTTTTTAGGAATTTTAGCTTGCTAAGAGGGCAGGAGAGGATGCATTCATTTTATCCACTAAGACTTTTTGGTGGTTAGTTAATTAGTGAATAAGGTTTTAACACTATTTTCTATCCATCAGAATCTACCCATGAGAGCTTCCCCTATAGGATCTGTTTCATAGGACCATAGAGGGATTCTAGAAGCCATCAAAGCTAACCTCTTCATTTTACAGATGAAGAAACTGAGGCACAGAAAGGTTAGGGTGACATGGATCACACAGCATTGATAGTAGGATTTGAACCCAGACCTCCTGACTCTAAATCACTCTTCTACAAAAAAACCTTTTTTTGATCCCCTGGCTACTTCCCCCTCCTCTTACTCCAGGCAACTTATTTATCTTATCTTTTGTATGTAGTATGTGTGTGTGTGTATGTGTGTGTGTGTGTGTATATATGTATGTGTGTGTGCATATATATATATATATATACACATATACATACATACATACATACTTTTTTTTACCACGATAGAATATAAGTTCCATGAGGGCATGGACTGCATCAGTTGTTTTTGTATCTCAGTGTCTGGCACCACGATAATATGGGTAATATTGTTGGTTGGTTGAATTGTTCCCACTGCAGAGGTTGCTTGGTAATTGCATTCTAAAATAGCATCATAGTTTAGATGCTTTCTCATGTTCTTATTTTAACAACATGGCAGTTATAGTTACTTGTCATTAAAATTAATTCTAAATTATTCAGCAATAGCTATTTAGCACCTACCATGTACAAAGGATTGTGCTTGGTAGACTCTGGGTGAGACCCAGAGTTTGAATGTGACAAAGTCTCTGCCATCATAAAATTTATTTTCTGTAAGTAAGTGCGTGTGTGTGTGTGTGTGCATGAGTGATAGACCCAATTAACTAAGATACAAGTTATTATAAGATAATAGCTCACAAGCTACATGAGGTCTGAGGGAGGAATAGAAGGATTGTTGAAGGCTCAATGGATGAGTTGTTGTGACAGGAGAGCTTCAAAAGATGGAGAGGAATTCAGTAATCCAAGAAGGGGGGAAAAAGGTATTCCAGGCATAGGGAACAATGTGTACAAAGATATGGAGGTAGGAAAATTGTATGTTGTATCTGGTGGATTGAGCAGTCAGTTGTGCTCCAGTGAAGAAGAACGTTCATGGAGGCAAATGATAAGAGATAAAGCTGGAAGGATTGGGGGTAGCCAGTTCTGGAGGTTTTTCTGACCTCACTTAGTGGGCACTGGGGAACCTTTATGGAGTTTAGAGGGGTAACATGGCTACATCTGTGAATAAGAAACAGCCTGACAACAACCTGAAGACTGCATTGGTGGGGAGGTGAAAGGAGAAATAGGAATGTTTGTTGTTCAGTTGTTCAGTCATGCCTATTCTTTGTGACCCCTGGACTATAGCACACCAGGCTCTTCTGTCTTCCACTATCTCTTGATGTCTTTCCACGTTCATATTCATTGTTTCCATGACACTATCCATCTCCTCCTTTGCCATGCCCTTTTCCCTTTCCCTCCAATCTTTCCCAACATCAGGGTCTTTTTCAGCGAGTCCTATCTTCTCGTGATTTAGCCAAAGCATTTAAGCTTCAGCTTCAGGATTTGATCTTCCAGTGAATAGCCTGAATTAATTTCTTTAAGTAAGGGATACTTGGGGTGAGACAATTATGACAA